ATGACTATGATTATTAAGAATCTATCAATAATATTTAGAATAAATATACAATAGAAGCCTGTTTTCGACTACAAATTTTTCAAGAAAATTATATTCTTACATGTCGTTGCAATCGAATTTTGCTTTATTGAGAATATAATTATTTGATTTTATTAATATAACCGAACATGAACTAATTTTCAAAAAGATAGTTGAGCGGAGACAAATTTCAGATGAAAAAATAATTGATTTTGTCAAAAGTGTAATGTGGTCGTCGAAAATATAACAACTTTTGATTGATTATTTGACATCCTTAATTTAATTTCCATATAACACAATCTTTCTGTATTGCGATGAATAATTGTCTGTAACCGTGTTGGATTATATATTAATACCAACAAAAAAAGTAATGGTGATACTTCTGCATTCATACTAAAAACTTTATTTTAATCTACAATGGTATTAATTTACACTAGTATCAACTCTAGTATGACACCATAGTTGTCTGAGAAGAAAATTCTAACCTATCGGCTACTTCCGATTAGAGGGAGCTAGAGTTACTCGAATGAAATTGAACCGAACTCGTGAACCAGTGAAATCAAGTTCGATTTCGTCTTTGATATGCAATGTCAAGTATTTTTGTATTAATTCTTTAATAATAGATGTTGAAAAGTCGATAATCTGTAAAAACGCTTATGAATAATAGTTTAGATATAAAATATTTATATTTTCGTTGATTTGTTGAAGCCAATGTATGCAGCTGTTCGAAGATGATGATTGAATAATGTTTTATTTTTACAGTGATTGATACATAAAAATCACGTTTCAGAAGAGAAACTTTAAACTTTTGAGCGCTTTTAAAATTTTCTGTACCATAAAATTCTATTTATGATTGAAAAATGAAAAGATACTGATCAGAACATTTGAAATATACTATTTATCAGGAAGTTCATACATCTTGCACATGCTAATCGAGCAGAACTTTCATTTCTATTCACATGTCACTCTAAATTGTTTGAGAGCGTAAGTGTGGATTTTCTGTTCATGACATTAGGGTGTGGTCCTTGTCTTCACCCATCCTGACATTCACACCTTCACTTGCACCTCACCACACCTTCTATGTCAACGAAGTAAGTTTTCTACCATTTGTTTCGAATCTTGAATTTTTCCGTTACATATAATAAATACATAATCGTTGTTATTCTGATTTTCTTGCAAATGTTCAGAGGTTTGTAAAAAATTCATCTGAAATACTATGTAGTTGTTTTTAGACTTCTCACAGTGTTATACAGAACGGCAACTTCTATTCATCTCAGCGTACGCATTTTGTTGACGATATGGAGCATAAATATAACATAAATATTTTACCGTCATCTTTCTCTCTCTTCATTGCAATGCTTTCAACATCAATCATACCGAATATTTGAATAGTAACAAAATACGAATACAAAACGTGGTAGAAGTATCACCAAAAAAAAGGAAGAAAAACAGACAAGTAAGATCTATTTTTCACTTCTCCAAATAGAATTTATTCATTTGCCGTTTCATTTCGACGATACATACAGTTCAAACCAGTCTACTTGCGAGACAATACAGACGAGAAGAAGTCAAAAACGATCAACAGTTTCATCAGCAGAGAAAAATTCAAGTAAAATGTCTGATTCTCTTACAGACACAATCGCAACTATAAGAGAGCGGTCGCCTACACATCCTCGTATTGTTCAATATTTTCTGCTCATCTGCCTGACTTCAAGTATCGATGAATTGAACAATAATTATCTTAATTCAATCATTCAACTGAGATGCACTGTTAATACTATCGAAACCTTTACTGACATCGATCAATGTATCGACTTTCTCACTAAAGTTCAATACGAAAAAGTGTTCATGATTATGTCCAATACTTTCGGTCAACACATAATACCTCTCATACATGATGTATCTCAACTGAATTCAATTTATGTATTTAGTGAAGAAAAGTCAAACCAAGAACAATGGACGAGAGAGTGGCCAAGAGTGAAAGGTATTTTCACACAAATCAGCTCCGTTTGTGAATTACTTAAGCAAACTGCACGACAATGTGATCGAAACTCTATTTCAATGAGTATTATACCAGCTAGTGATGCACCTATTCAAAATTTTGAACAAATCGATCAATCATTCATGTATACACAACTACTCAAAGATATTGTATTCGAATTTAGATATGATGAACAACTCTTAAAAGTTCTGATTGCCTTTTGTCGTACTCAGTATACCGGCAATAGTCACGAATTGAATACTATCGATAAATTCGAGCAAGAATATGAACTTCATTCGCCTGTATGGTGGTATACTTACGCAGGTTTCCTCTATCCCATGCTCAATCGAGCTTTGCGCGCTCAAGAACTTGATACAATTCTTATGATGGGTTTTTTTATTCGAGCTTTACATGTACAAATCGAACAACTTCACGCAGAACAATCGAATGATCGTCACGTACAAGTACTTACTGTTTATCGAGGTCAAGGTATGTCAAATACTGAATTCGAGAAGATAAAGAAAAGTCAAGGCGGTCTTCTTTCGTTTAATAATTTTTTATCGACAAGCATCGATCGAGATGTCTCTTTTCTGTTTGCGGAAAGCAATGGAATGAATCCAGACTTAACAGGAATTCTCTTTAAAATTATTATTGATTCATCGATATCATCGACTCCTTTTGCTCTTCTTAACAATGTTAGCCATTATAATGATTCAGAAAAGGAAATTCTATTTTTGATGCATACTGTTTTCCGTATTGGTGAAATCAAACGATTAAACAACAGTGATCAAGTATGGCAGATAGATCTTACACTGATGAGTGACAAAGATCAACAACTTAGTGCTCTTATTCAACTCATTCGAGACGAAACAAGAGAATTACCAGGAATTCATCGATTGGGTTTGTTAATGACAAAGTTAGGACAATTTTACAAGGCTGAACAAATATTCAGCATGCCGCTTAGTCTGACATCTGACAATGATGATGAGAAAGTATATCTTTACTATCAGCTAGGAATGAGGAAAGCTGATCAGGGCGACTATGTGGAAGTATTCTCTTGGAAAGAAGTAATAAAGAGTGTTTTAGAATCCGCTTCAACTATCTGTAAAGGAGATATATAGTCGTTCATGTGTTTATGTGTAAAATGAGCTAATCTAACAGTCTACTTGAATTGGAACCAGCAGAAATAATTTGGGACTGAAAGGGTTAATTCATTGTGATGAAGAGAATTTAACAACGAAAGAACAAAATCAGGTTCAACATGAAGGTTGACTTATACTGTTTTTTCTTTCTTATGTAAACAAAACATTCTTTAGATGCAAACTCATTCGCACGACTAAGACGATGACAATATCCATCCGAATTGGTGATCAATGTATTACCTTGAGATTCATAGATAGATGACACTAACTGAAATGCCGAATCCCATAGCTCTTTTTTGTAAAACTATTTAATTTAATTTAAAGTAGCAGTATAAATAAAACTTTTGTCTCCTTGCTATACGAAAAAGAAGTACTCGTAGATTCATTTATAATATATCTTGATAATAATAGTATGACAGTAGCACAACCAAAAGCAGACTAACGATTAAGTTTATATTAGCTTACCAGTTTTTTTCTTATCTGAATTAAGTATTTTTTTATGCATCATATTACGATGGAAAAGTCTTGTTTGAAACCATGAAGCAACACCTTTTATCATAACAGTTTTCTCAATATCGTTGATTCCACCGAACATTCTTCAACATAACAATTTACACGACTTCAATCTTTTAGCAATTCGAGCATATTCTCGTTACACATTTGAGATTTTTTGCTTCAATAAAATTACATTTGACCTTCCAGAGCATTTTCGTTTGGAAGAATAGTGTGTACAGATAAATCCACAATTTCCTGTAATATACAGCAACAAAAAAATCAAGGTAGAATGGCAGAAGGAAAAACACAAATTTGTGTTAAAAATGTAGAAATGTATTAGAGAGAGTTTTCTCTCACAAGCACGAAGTCGTGGAGAGGAAAAGTTCATTAATCCAATGTGCTCTAAATAACATCGATTGTTTATTGCCACTAGCACGCCTCAGGACTTTCACCAACTGATTAGAGTCCACTGTCCTTTCGTCAATAAGCGAATGTCCACTTGGCGAAAGCCTTGTTGGCCAAATTTGGCAATCCGAACTAATCATTTTTATTATCTGATAAATTTAAACCAGAATTATTTGATTTCGAACAATTGTTTACTAGAGAAAAAAGATGATGTTACATAGAAATAAAAAAAGTTCAAGACAATCTTATAGATGACAAAAATACAATAAATAAATGACAAATGAATAAGTGAATAGACTTTTAACAATATCTTTTAAGTTTCGTTCCATTTAAAACATTAATTAATTTTTTAATATCTGTAGCATATTGATATCCTGCAGGAAATGTAAAATTATTGCATTTCATCAAAAAACATCGTTGGTCCATGTCCGTCTTAATAGGATCATGTGCAACTTCATGTCTTTCATTAGCAATATCACGAATTGTTTTGAGCTTCAAATTAAGATTCCATTGCTGTGCTAATTCAAGTTCAACAGGTTCAACGAGTTGACGGATGAATGAATCTTGTTGAACCTTATCGATTATTGTTGGATCATTATTATTAATCGTATTATTATTGGCCGTCATATTCTGCAAGACAGCACATTCTCGTTTAGTCCATTCATCTATAATTCAATATGAATTTTTAAAATTAAAAGACGAATTTTCTCAATATTTATATCAACTTACCGGTAAACGACTTCCAGGTTGAGAATGGAAAACCTTTAAGTATGTCATCGATATAGTAAAATCGAAATAATTTGATGACATCAAAAGCTAACATTTTTGCTTTTTGTAGTTTAATATCAGTTTCAAGTTCATTTATTCTTTTTTCATGATTGTCGATGACGCTTTGTTGTGCTGCAAACTGATATTTTAAGATTTCCAATTCGAAAATTATTCGTTGAAATATATCATTAAGATTAGATTTCACATTTTGGTCAATATTTAATAATATCATAACTTTTTGTAAAAACTGATGGAAATCCGTGTTGTATTTAAATAATTCTTGAAGCAATGGATAACAAATGATCCAATGCTTGTCCTTTTGTTTGTTCAATATCATTCGTCACTTTTACTAAATCATTATCAAGCAATACTTGAAAAAATTTTTCAAATATTTCTTTGGCTGCTTGATCCATCTCCAGTAGTTTTATTAATTTGAGATATGGAATATCGAGAAATGTTTTTTTGTATAAGAATTGTAAACAAAATAACGATAGAAATCAGATCGCCATTATGCCTTTATTACAGACGGCCTCTATATGAAGGTCACAAAATCACGAAAAAGAGGGCGGTGATTATTAATATTGTATCTCAAGTAGTTATTCATTGTATTGCTCATAAGAAAATAATCGATTTTAGCTATCTTCGATTAAATGGAAATTCATAAAAAGCATATGCTATTTGTTGTACACGTTGAAAAACAAGATGATGATTAGAATCCCATGTCGATAACAATAAGCTTGGAGGTGGTATGCGTACCTCAGACAACTCTTCAGTATGGAGGTTCGTGATTGGACAATGATGACAATGAACTATATAAAGGGTTTGTTATGCTGAAGATGCACTTTCGATACGCGTTTAACACGTCTGGTACGCTTGTCAGTACTGCATGTGGAACGCGTACCAAACTCGTACTTATTGATATGGGATAAGATTTAGTGATCTTGCAACTTTCGTCTAGTTGGTAAAAACGCAGATGAATGTTTTTTTTTGCATATAAACGGTGGACCAGAAGTTCTGACTGGATTTGAGGATATCCTTTCTATCAAATCCGATCAAGACTTCTGGCCCCTTCTTTATGCAACTGTGTATGAAAAATGTTTTTTCCAGTGATGACTGACAGAGAGATAAGTTTTCATCGTAATCTCAATGGATAGACATGTTACCAATAAAACTGTTAACAAAAAATACGGTAGTAATTTCTTAACTATACGTTTGATGCAATAAACTGACGTTTGTTCTTTGAACAATTACATCGAATGGCGCAATTGGTTTATTATAAAACATCAAGATTTTATGTTATACTATAATTTATTTCAGAATATCATTTCCAATAGCAGAAGAAGCTATCGAAAAAACGACCGATGAAGTTGAAGATATCGTTGATTTATGGACAGGGGCTAGTAGCTTGGAGAAAGGAATCGGTTATGATAAACTTATTCGTATGTTACCATTGGTTCTATTTTCCAAATAAAAATGTTTATATTCTGTTAAGATCGTTTTGGTTCGTCAAAAATTTCTCCTATATTGATATGGCGAACGGAAGCTATTATTAGGAAAGCTGTTCATCATTTTATTCGACGAGGAGTTTTCTTCTGACATGGGTTTATTTACAAAATTATAATTTTCAAAAGTAATTTCATTTCTTTTGTAGAGATCTTGAGTTAATTCCCACAGCTGATGAACAGAAAAAACCATTTCTCTTGTATATTGGCCGTGGACCATCATTTGAAGCAATGCATCTTGGTCATTTGATTTCATTTATCATGACAAAATAAGAAGAAAAATTTTTAAAAAGCATAGAAAATAAAGAAATATTTTTTTGTCAGATGGCTACAAGATGCTTTTGGTGTTCCATTAGTAATTCAAATGACTGATGATAAGAAATTTCTCTGGAAAGATATAACAGTTGACGAAGCAAATAAATATGCATATGGAAATGCAAAAGATATAATTGCATGCGGTTTTCATCCAACAAAAACATTTATTGTTTTCGAATTTTGATTTTATGGTGTGAGTTACTCAATTTCAGTTTTGAATTTTCATTTGGTTCTTTTTTTGTTATTTTAGTTGAATAGTCGATGACCAGATTTTTATCGAAATATTTCTCGTATTCAAAAGAGTGTTACTTTTAATCAAGTAGAAGTTATAAATGAAATTTGATTTTTTACTGAACTATGAATTAATGTTCTTCTTCTTTAATAGGAACTTTCGGTTTTACTGAGAGCGATTCCATTGGAAAACTGCTTTTCCAGCAATTCAAGCTGCACCTAGTGTCAGTTCGTCATGTCCATTTCTATTCAGTAAAAAAGTCAAAGATGAATTTCGTTGTCTTATTTGATGTATCACTGATCAGGTCGGTAGATTGAGAATTTCTCTCAAATAATGAAATAATCTTGATGGAATGTAAGATCCATATATTCAAATGATACGTGATATTGCACCACGTTTAAATTATCCGAAAGCAACATTAATTCATTCAACATTTTTTTAGCACTTCAAGGTTCAAAATCGAAAATATCTGCATCCGATCCGAATTCATCAATTTTTCTCACCGATTCACCGAAAGATATCAAAAACAAAGTAATGTTTTTTGATATTTATAATAAGATAAAAGATTAAACTGTACTTTCTTAATAAAATAGATAAACAAACATGCATTCAATGGAGGAAAAGAAACAATTGAAGAATATCATGCTAAAGGTGGTGATTGTGAAGTTGATGTATCTTTTCAATATCTTAGGTCTCTTATGGATGATGCTCAAAGATTTGAACATATTCGACAAGTAATTTGTTTTCTATATAAAAATTTTTTTTTAAATTTTGTTTATTAAAAGAATTATTCATTGAGAAAATTATTAACTGATGAATTGAAAAAGATTTTAATTGAACTTTTGCAAGAATTAGTTGGTCAACATCAAGAACAACGAAAAGAAGTGACTTTGGATGTTGTACGACAGTTTATGACACGAAGACAACTTCATTTTCATTACTAAAATGTTTTTATTATTTTAGGAAAGAAAAATAAAGTTTTGAAGTTATTTTATTTGAAAGACAAAAAATATTTGGAAATGATTTCAATGAGTAGATCTGTTCAAAACGAAACAAAAATAACAATCAAAATAGGAATTTTCTTTTTTTTATTTTAAACGTTCATATCGGTCTTTTTGAAAATATCTATTTAAAGTTGTTGTTTATTCTCGTTTGTTTTCTAATAAGTCGACATATGATAAATTCTACTTGTTCGGATAAAATTCAATACTAAAATATGTTCAATAATCGTTTTTTAATCAAATAAAAAAGAAAGTGAATAATGAATCTGTCATATATTAAGAAAAAAAAACATCTATATATTTTTTTAAACAAAAAACAACAATTTTGTCGTTGTCACAAAAGAAAACGAATAACAATATTTGTTAAATAAATAAAAAAAGCGGAGAGAGTATCAATGTTCTATGACAATTTCAATGCTAAAGCAAGTGATTATGTGACTTCAAATTGATGAGTTTTTTACAAATATGAATTTGAATATCTTCTGATAAGCCATAGCTTTTTGCTAATAATGACTAAATATAAGCTAAATGGAAACATTAAAATAGATGTTCTTTCATGTTATTGTTTCTTAACAGACATCTTTTGCTGTTTGTTTTAAAACTCAAATTGATATTGTTCATATTAATGATGGATCATTTTCAGTTGATCAAAGACCAGCATCATTTTCTATATCATTAAAAATATGAAAATACATATATTGACATTTGATCAAAACTAACAGCTGCTTGAATATTTAGCCCTTAGAGTCCTGGCGACGCATATATGCGCCTGAATTCAGTTATTTGACAAAGGTGCTCCTAGTATATTGTTTAGAACATCTTTCTATCGTTTATTAGGTGATGTCAGACAAGTCCAATCCTTCTTTCTTTCCTTTCTGCTTGTTAGTATGAAACATCTATATTCTATGCGCTTTCTTTCGTTCTGTATGATGACACACACTATATCTCTCATTCTAGAGCATTCTAGTACGATCACTTTTGTTTCGTCTTTTGTTTGTATTGATCAGCTACTATTCTCTATAGTACTCTGTGGTTAGTTTCTTTCTTTCGGTAAAATTCTAGTTAGTCCTATCTTACCTAAAAAATCTAGTAAGTTCTTTTCGTTTCTAAACTGTAGCGTATATATATCCATTGTTCGAATAGTAAAAGACAAGAGTAAGAACGAATCGAATATATTCTTCTTTGAATAATAATCGTATAGTTCAGCAACACATCTTACATACATTTCACAATGGCAACTTCAAGAAAAAGACGTTGGACTGAGCAAGAAATTGAGGAAGTTATGAGTAACTCTCAATCCGCCTTATCGTTTGAAGATGAACTTCTAACGGCTCTTGATTGCATATGTATTGATTTTGGTGATGAAGATTTTGCCAGCAAAACCTCAGTGGCACTGTGAAACATTCGCTCTAACCATGCCACAGTCTGTTGGTGAACCTGATTTACAAAATATCAAAAATTTCATTAAAAAATTTTCGACTTTCGCAAAAAAAAGAGTCGGGACTATAAGGGTTAATCGATCTATTTTCATCGTGTATCAATCTATCTCTAGTATCAATAAATAGATTCCCGTTAAAAATTGGCAGAATAGAGAAAAAACACATAGTTATTTTTCTCAAACTTGATGGCAATTACAATAAACGAAATCTCGTCATTTGATACGTCGAGCAGGTTTTAATTTACCTAAATTAGCAACAATGACAGCTACTCAATCATCTACATCACTTATTAGTGTAAAACAATCAAATTCACCAACATTATATTCGACAACATCAATGTCAACATCACATCATCCAGTTATCGATCAATCATTATCAGCACCTTTAATACATCGAAAAATGAATTTCTATGATGATACAAATGATTCTCAACAACATCATCGTTTGATGTTAACCACATCACAATCAAAAGAATCTCCATCACGTGGTATTTCACCGCGTATAAATCGTAATAAATCACCAGCAACTAATATCTATAATCCTTCATCAATTGAAAAACTATAGTTACTACTTGACATGTTATTTATATCTTTATCTTTTATTTGTCTTATATTTCAATCTATTGGTTTATATGGAAGAGGTTTCGATCAGTTTCGTGTTTTTTTCTTTATGTGATAAGTGACAGGTGTCTTGATTTTACCTTCTTCTTCTTTTTCTCTTTTTTGAGTGTGTAGTGTATGTTTGTTTACATGTAAAGATATATATATATATATATATTTCTCTTTTTCTTTTTTGCGATTGTGTATATTAATAAAGAAATCCATTATATTGGCTTATTTGAATTGAAATTTAAATGGAAAAAGAAATTATTCCTGTTCCTTCATCGGCTGATCTTGCAGGTAGTAAATATAATTTAAATAATTTTATAAATAATTATATATGACCTTCGTTTGTTGGTTGATAAGAACAAGGTGATATTATGATTGGTTTTTTTGAATGATTATTTGCTTTTTTTTTGTGAATCTATTTCGTAATTTGATGTTATTAATCTAATATTTAAGAGAACTAAAAGAAAAATATTTTAGAACTATTTGTTCAAGCTCATTTGGTTAAACATAAGGCTTATGTTCCCTATTCAAACTTTCGGTATAAAATTAATATATATATATATATTTTTTAATAACATATTTTTGTTTTCTATTTAATTAGAGTAGGAGCTGCTTTATTAACATCAACTGGAAAAATATATTCTGGATGTAATATTGAAAATGCTTCTTATGGATTAGCTACTTGTGCTGAACGAACAGCACTTGTAAAAGCTGTTTCTGAAGGTGAACATTCATTTGAAAAAATTGCTATTACATCGTACGTTTATTTATTTATTTTGAAATCAAAAAAGCAAAATTTTTCATTGTTTTTTTCTAGTGATGTTGAAACTGGTTTTACTGGTCCATGTGGTTCATGTCGACAGACATTAGCTGAATTTGGTCTTGATTTAGATGTTTATCTTGTTAATCCAAAGAATGAATCAAAGCAATATAAACTTCGTGAATTATTACCTATAGCTTTTACACCACGTGATCTTCAAAAACCCCGTACAGATCATGATATTACTGAATAAAAATTCTTACAAAAATTTTTCTTTCCTGAAATATCTTGTTGAATAAGCTTAATAAAATAATTGATATATGACTATGATTATTAAGAATCTATCAATAATATTTAGAATAAATAT